TGATACATTTTGTCATTTGGTTTTGTGTGTGTTGATCAGGCTTTGCTGTTGTGGCAAAGAAAGCATCAAAGGCTGGCAATGTGGCTGCCCTTTCTATTCTTTACAATAACTGTATAAATATTGGTATTAGATGTTTTTTTAAAGTGTTTTCTAGTCATTGGCTTTGTGTGTGTGTGTGTGTGGGGGGGGGGGGTGGGTGGGTGGGTGAGAGACAGAGAAAGAGAGAGCGAGAGAGAGAGGGCTGTTACTATTTCAATCTCATTTCTTTCTATGTGTTTTGAAGGTTTGAAGGTGTTGGTATCTTATTGATACAAATTCTGTAGGTCATATGTGTCTTTGAATAAATCCATTTCTTCTAAATGTTCCAGTGTAAATAAAGATAAATTTTCAAAGTATCCTAAATGATCCCTTGGATTTCACTGGAATGCGTTCAAAGACCCCTCTTTGCCATCCCTGATCTTCATAAATTATCTGGATTTTAATCCATATTTGTTTTATAAAATTAGATACCACTCATATGTATATAAACATGTTAGATCATCTTTTCAAAGGGTATTTTTATCTATCTGTGTGTGCATGTGTGTTTATGTGTGTGGTTGTTGACATGCCATAGTTCATCCATGAAATTCATAGTATAATTTATAGAAGTCAGTTTTCTTCTCCCTTCATGGGAATTATATAGATCAAGTTCATGTTACCATGCTTGATAAGTTCCTTTACATGCTGAGCCATTTCACTGGCCTTGTTAGAGCTTCTTGAGCAATTTTTCATTTCAGTTGTAGTGGTTTTATTTCTGACTAACTTTAGCTATACAGTATATAGTATAAGAATAGTTTTGACAGGTCATTTTTAAGTTTTATTTACCTAATATATTATTTTCTATCATTTAATTGTCTATGGAGGTCTTTACTCCTGAAACACCCCCTCTCTCCCCGTGTGTGTGTGTGTGTGTGTGTGTGTGTGAACAATAGGCATATATTTTGGTTTCATTCCATTCAATAAATCCTTTTTTTTTTTTTTTTTTTTTTTTTTTTTTTTTACTACACTCAAGCTAATGGTTAAGAGGTGTTTAGTAATCCTCAAAATGTAGACAGTTGTTTTTCTAATTGGTTGGGTTAATGCTTTTGTTTCCCTGATGTTTACATTGGAATTGGTTGGTTTAGTGTGTTAGACCTGTTGAACTCCTTCCAAATCATCTTGGTTTGCATGTTCCTCTCCAGAAATATTTTTCTTTCTGTGCTCCCATGATTGGCCCTGCCACATTTTTTTCTGTATTGCTGGCTTGGTTGTCATGAACTCTCTTAGTTTTTGTTTGTCTTGGAATATTATTTTTTGTCAAGTTTAAAAGACAGGTCATCTGGATTTAGCATTCTGGGTTGGCATGTACTTACAGTATTTGAAATATATAATTCATATTATCTTGGATTTTAACATTACATAAGAGATCTATGTTATGCTGACATGTTTACCTAAATAGGTAAGTTGGTGCTTTTTACTTACAGCTCTTAATGGTGTTACTTGCTTTGTATTTTTGACATTTAACTGTAATATGTCATGGAAACATAGTCATGTCTAGATGGGATTTTGAATGTCATATGTTAAGATATCCATTCCTTTCTGTAAATTTGGGAAATTTCAAGTAATTGTTTTATTTAGCAGGTTCTGTATGCCATAAGTTTTTACATTATCTTCTATATTATCCCATGAATTTTTGGTAGCTTGATCATATATCCCATTATGTTATTTCTTTCTCTTTCTTCCTTTCTTCCTTCCTTCCTTCCTTTTTCTTCCTTCCTTCCTTCCTTTTTCTTTCTTTCTTTCTTTCTTTCTTTTTGAGACAGATGTCTATGTAGCCTCAGCTTCCCTTAAACGGTACATAGTTCAGAACAGCCTTGATTTCTGATCTTCCTTCCTCTACAATCCAGGTGCTGGGATTACCATGTGCCAACATGTAGACGGATGTGATGCTGGATATCACATTCAGGGTTTTACCCATACTAAGAAAACTTCTGCTAGAATACAGTCACAGACACTCTCCATTTGTTCTCTTTATATATATTTGAATGTTTTATGTTCTAAAATTTTTTCTACATATTTGATCTTTCTTCTTTTTGGTCAAGGGTGATTGGCTCTTCTTTCCAACATCATTTATGTTTGATCCTTTGAATTACTTTTTATTTCCAACATTTCTTTATTTCTTTATTCTCTTCCAATTTTTTCCATAATGAACTTTTCTTATATGCTGTTGAGTTTTTCATGCATATTTCTTATTAATGCACCCACGTTTCTGAGATTTTTATCTGTGTTGTTGATACTCTTCTTCGTATCCTAACTTGAATTCATTTCCTTATTTGTATCCTCTTTGAGACTCATGATCATTTTTACTAGTGCAATGTTAAAATCTTCACCCATCATTTTATCTGCAGTATCATCTTTGAATTCAGAAGTTGAGGAGTCACTGATTTTGAGGGCAGTCAGCACTTTGTGTTTTTATGTTTCTTTTCTTTCTATGTTAACAGTGAACAAATATTGGTTTCAGTATTTGTTCCGATTTAATATGGAAATCAGCTTCTGGAGCAGCCTAATCTTGAGGGTTTTGCTCCTGTGCCACTAAAGAGAAAAAAAGAAAAGAAACTAACAATATAGCAAGAATGCCAAAACATATAAAATACAGATACATTTAAAAATCAAATGGATTAATATCTACTAGTTAATCTTTAATGGTCATAAAATATAAACTAACAAGACATATTAAAATTGGGCAATGGTGGCACATGCCTTTAATCCCAGCACTTTGGAGCCAGAGGCAGGCAGATCTCTGTGATTTTTAGGCCAGCCTGGTCTACAAAGCTACACAGAAAAACCCTGTCCCCCCCACAAAAAAAAATAAATTTAAAGAGCTTGATACTTGAAAACATGGTACTATCGTTGGAATTTTCTTTGGGCTACCAACCATGTCCCAAATAAGGATATGGAGACTTGTTATTAATAATGAATGTTCGGTCTTAGCTTAGATTTGTCCCACTAGCTCCTTTAACTTAATTTAATCTGTTTTGGTTCATCTATGTTTTGCCTCTGGGCATTTTACCTCCATTTCAATCTGTATCCTACCTTTATGCTTCCTCCATGTCTGTCAAACTGGCCCCTGGCATCTCACTATTGTCTCCTTGTCATTCTTCTTGAGTCTAAATTTCCCCTTCTATTTATTCTCCCTGCCTGAAAGTTTTACCTATACATTTTCCCTCACTTTTGATCCTCTAGCATTTTAGCAGACCAATCAGGTGCCTTTGGCAGGCAAGGTAAAACAGCAACACATCCTTAAATAATTAAAAATTCAACAAATCTTTGTATAGGTAAACAAATGTTCTGAACATGATACCTAAACATATTCAGAGAAGCAGGAGTGGGAAGGAAGAGAAAAATGATATCTGAAATGAAGGAAGACATGGAAGTGAACTGATAAAAGTCTATAAAGAACTAAAGAGGTAAACTTACAGGCCAGGCACACCAAGAGATTTCCAGAGCACTGTCATATAGTCAAGCTCAAGGGTCTTATCTGCAGGGGTTGGAACTAGTAGTCCTTGAATTACTAGATAAATGTATAGTTATTACCATTCACACATAGGCATTTGCTGTGGACAGAATACTGGTGACCAGATGGAATCTCCAGTTTGATCTGTAGCAATCAAATAATGGTTTGCTGATACTCTGAGTTTGAAGTGAAAGTCTGATGCTTGGAACATTGTACAGTGTATGAGTTGGGCTATTTTGGAGCCTTGTACCATAGTGTCACCAGGTCCAAAGGGCACCAGCCAGTATTTGAACTTATGGTGTCATGTCTCTGATCAGGATACCTATATCAGTTAGCTGAGACAAATGCCATTTCAGCTTGCCAGCAGGCACTGTAATAATCTTTACCATCCCCTCACTATTGCCCTGTAGGGTTTCTGATGCATTTTTCTTCAGGAGCTCATCTCAGCTCATATTACTTAAAACAGTCAAGAAAAGACTACTGTAGAGAAACTAATAGGCCTAAGCAACTCAGTTGAGGCACAGCTCAGCATAGTATCTCCCAGATGACTCACTCAGGGAGCTTCAGTATCCTGTTAAGCTGATGGTAAATGGGAGTGTTTGGACCAATCACAGTCATTTGGACATTAAGTTTGAACCAATACTAACTATTGGGCCAATTACAACAATCATAGTCACTAAGGCTTGTATTTTGAATCAATCACTATCTGTCATCTTATTACCAGTCTGAGTCATCCTTGTACCAGGAAACTGTTCTGCTTCTGGTCAAGGTGGAAATGATTCTTTGAAGTTTGTGATCAAAAGTCAGCCCTAGCTGAGGCTGTGCTTAGGAGAGCCAGGTCAGACAACTTCCATCTTTTGCATAATTGTCTGGAAGCATCCTTGAAGTTTTCAACAAGACTGGTACTGGAATAAGGCTAACTCAGCTGGCTGTTTGACTCATAGACATTTTCTTCAAATCATTTCAGGGAGCAAGAGAGAAAGAGTCCAATGGCTACAAATTAAGAAGTCAAATGGCTCAATCCACAAGATTTTTTCTTACATGAAAAATTAATGTCAGGAGGGCTGAGAATACAAAGCTAAAAATTTTATTATGACCTCTACCAATGATTTCAACAGTGATTTAAAACAGTGTGTGTGTGTGTGTGTGTGTGTGTGTGTGTGTGTGTGTGTGTGTGTGTGTGTACCCAGTGCCTAGGAACAGGATTCACCTTCATCTGCCTTAACCTGACTCATACCTCTTTGAGTTTCAGGAGTTTATGCAAGAACTGGAGAACAGATTCCTGCCTCTACCTCCAAATGGTCCCATCAAAGGAAACACAGTGAAGTCTAATCACTTGCATTTTAAACATGTAGTTCATTGACAGATTGATTCTATGATCCTTGGGCCACATTTTGAGTGACATTGACTTCTAAATTTTCTGTGACATACATGTTAATATTAACAATATTTAAACTGTGTTTTTCAGAAAAGTAAATTCAACTGTTCCAGAAGAGCTCAGTGCCCAGGAACCAATGTCAGCTCTGTACAGATACAAGGTGATGCTGATTATTTCATCAACCATCTTGGAGTTCCAACTGTACAGTTTGCTTATGAGGACATCAAAGCATTAGAGGTAATTGTTTCTAAACTTGGAAAGTACTCACATACAATGTAGCAGATGTGCAGATTTGATTTTAATATACCTTCATAGTCATCTTTCATACCAAATAGGTCACTATAGGAAGGAGCTTTATTGTGGAATAATCTTGTTATCCAGAAATTTGAAACTGTGTTTGAAAACATGAGCTTTAAAGAGCATTCAATTCAATTTAGAAAGATTTACACTGTCACATTTTCACAGAGAGCTTCACAACAAGAAACATCAGTTGTTGAATTAACATCAAAACAACTGCAGTCTTCAGTGTTCACAGAAACACATGGCCTGTGCAGAAGACCTTCCTCTCCTTGCTCAAGGCGAAATGCATTTAGTGTGCTCAGTGTTAATGTGATTCTTGTGAATTAGTTCTCCAAGTTTGTCAATAGTTTGCATGCCTGAAAACCTTTTCCCCAAAGTATAACATGAAAGCATGATTCATCTTCATTAACCTTGTTTCTCTATGGTATGGATCTGAGTCCTTCACTATTTCTGAGAATCAGCAAACTGCTTCTGGGTAAATCTAAAACTTCTTGAACACATTGTTCATATGTTTGTGAGAGGTTCTGAAGCATCTTGTTTCAGGCCACTGACAACATACGGACTACAAAATAGAGTGAAATATACTATGGTCCTTAAATATAGATATATCAAGAAAACAGAGTTTAAGTTATGTTTATATATACCTATCTCCAGCTATGTAGTTTCTCAATTCCAGCAGACTTACAGTGTTTAGTGTTGTATGTATCCATGGCTCTCATTACACACTCTTGTTTGTTGGAGGTAGTGACCATTATCCATTTAAACTCATAGAGACAAAAACCTCCAGGAGAATCCTACTGTGGAAATACTAACTCTTTGGTAATGTAGAGTAATAGATTTACTTGCTTAGTTAAGGTTTTCATCCACCATCTTTAAGCATATATTTAAATTTTATTTTTGTTGTTGCTTGTAAGTCATAGAGGGTTACTTGTCACAGCAGGCATGAAGAATTCGAGGAGACATTTCAACACTAGATTCACTCCTTTGAAGTAGAATCTGGGACTGAGCAATCTCATCAGGCTTATGAGGCAGGTGCTTTTTGCCAACCATTTCTCCTGCTACATGCACAATATTTTTAAAAAAATGAACACACATGTAGATATGCTGGTTCTGTTGCACAAACTCAGTATATGCACATTAATAAATTGGTGACCTGCACTAACACCTGAACCATATTTTGCCCTTGGCCTCTGCTGCCACTAAGGGCTTTGATGGTGTCCATGGCCCTTGCAACAGTTGAGGGCCTTGTTGATGTTTATGGTCTGTACTGCTACCAGAGATCACACTGAGGTCTTGAGTAAAATCCATTGTATCCAGGGACCATGTGTAATTCCACAGTCTGTGCTTCCACTGATTGTAAAGGACAAGAAAGCTAGTTTTGCCATGGTATAGATGACTGCAGACTCAACATTGAGAAAAAGGGAGGGCTATAGAAGTAAAAAAGTAACAGCTTAGAAAGCCACCAAAGATAACTTGTAAAAAAAAAAATCTGATAAGGATGCTGAAGTGTAGCTATTTGCAGTTGATGGCTTCTGGAAGGGGTTAAGTTTCAGAAGGATTCTGTTTTTCTTAAAGGGAAGGCTACTGGGAATGTAATTGTGCTCCAATAAGTTTATGGACAAGTTGAACTTTTTTTCTTATTCTTCTTCTCTCTCTCTCTCTCTCTCTCTCTCTCTCTCTCTCCCTTTGTTTATTTTTTGCAGAGGTTAGTTAATGCTGTGCTCATGCTAAGGCCCCATCAACTACCAACAAGTAACCACAGCAATTAGCATGGTTTCTTGTCAGGATTTAGAATCCATAGATTAAGGAGTATTTCCAGACAACTTGGATGCACAAATCAGTGCATGAAGTAAGAGCTATTCATTGTTAAAGGAAACAGAGTAGTCTGAGGATAGTCAGCTGGAGAATGTGATGAGAGGAAGTAGACTGGTAATGAGGAGCAATGAAGCCTCCAGGGAATGCTGTCATCAATGGGAAACTCTGGAAGCCAATGTCTCTCCTACAGAATGGGTTTATTCTAAAGGACCCAACAGTGCTGAGAATACCTAACTCTTGTCTTCCAAATCAATTGTTACCATATTTGTTTCTACACAAGTAATTAGTAAAGAGTCCCCCATGCTTTAATGACAAATGACCTTGTTTATGCTGATTTAGTGGGGAGAAGTTTTAAAAATAGATTTGTCCCTAGCAAAATGGGATTTCTTATGATGAGATAATTTTGTGTAAGCTCTATAAAGAACAGATATTAACCTTTACTTTCTATGTTACCCTATCATAAGTATTTGTACACAGTTATTAAGAGGATTTTTAAATATTGAAAAGCTTTTTGTAGGATATTAAAATATTTTACATTTTACTACGCCAATTAATAAAGTAGTCAAGGAAATTAGAGACTTATCACGAATTTGCCTGACTCCATATTTTAATTTCCATATGTTGTCTTTAGAGAAGTTACCAGAGGGTTGGAAATCAGAAGCCCTGTGTCTTGACATTTCTCAAGTTCCATGTGTGTCTGTGCCTCTGGCACTTTTCCTCTATGTAGGTAAAGAAAATTGGTACAAAAATTACACTTACCACTACTATCATTGGAATTTAAAATTTTCCATAGAGGCTCATGTTTTTAACAGTTGTACCCCAGCTTATGACAGCTTAATGAAGGCTGCATTGTCCTTAGAAGGCCTGGTTTGATTGGCACAGTAGGCGCAGGTTGGTATTTGTACCTGTGTCTATCCTCATTTTTGCTTTCTCTCCTGCTGCCATGTAAGGAATCTCTAGCATATATTTCCACCACCATAAACTGTTCTGTACTTTTCCTGTTTTTATAGACAGTGATACCTTTAAATCTGTGAAGGAAATAAATGAATATGCCTAAAATAAAGATGAATTCTTAACCAAACACAGGTAAAGATCAACAATGCTGAGCTGTAAACTAGAATAATTACAGCAACCTACAGTTTCAAAAATGCTGTGATTGCCACTATTGCCATTGTGGATTTATATGAAATAAGAAGGGATTGCATGAACACATGTACTTCAGTAACAGGGTGGGCAATCCTAACACCTGATAATTAAATCACTACAAGGACAGTTTCATGGAAAACATGGATCCACTAGGTTAAAGCCTATTCACATTTTGAAAAGGTTGGAATAATATCATGTTGGAATTCATCATGCTACAAAAATCAGCATGCAACTTAAAATTTATTGTTTGTTTCAGAAAATCACCACTTATTCAACTATAGTTAACTTCCCAAAGTGACAATAGTTAGCTGATATACATGGGACCTCTTTACATTTATCTACAACAATTAAACTGTGTAAAAAATTAAATTTTAGAAAAGTAAGCTATTGCAAATGTGTAGTTTGTTACATACATAAGACATTATTAATTTGGCTTTTAATTAAATGTAACAGTTGACAAATATGTATGTGAAATGTTTCACATTATCCATATTCTTGGGTAAACCTTTTCTTCCTAGTTTCTGTGGATTCAAATACATCACCTGTAATTGTTTAATGCACCATTCATCTTTGTCTTTCCTTTAAATCTTTAGCATTCCAGTAACTAAAGCTCCCAAATGCACAGGAATCAACATATTTGCCAAAAGGTATTATGATTCTTTCTTATAAGATACTGCCTATTAATGGAAACATCTTTGGTTTTTGGCTTCATTTAAATAAGGTTTTTAAATTCATAAACACTGTTGCACCTGTTAGGAGGAGCATCCTGCACAGTTAAATCGAAAGTAGAGGTTGCCACAAAGGAAATGAAAAGACAGATGCTTTCCAATTAAGGGTGTAGTATTTATAACAAATGGTAGTCCACGCACATTGCTTCTGTCACTTACCACCTGTCTGACATAATTTTTGTTCTAGATCAGTATAATTAGACTCTGCAAGGTATGTCAGAGGGCCTACTGTTCTTGGTGAATCAGAGGATCATTTATGCTCACCAAACTTTATAGCACAGATTAAAGCTGTTTACTCATTCCACTTCTCCTTATACTCCTTCCTCTTCCGCTTGAAACACTCCATTTTAAGACCAATATACTGCCATAATTCAGGACTTAACATTTAGATATTAATGATCTAAGAGAGTATCATGGCTTTTAACTAGTGAGAGTCATGACATTATTGTTTCAGCATCTAGTAAGACAGAGACAGACATGAAAGCATCAAAGGCATAGGGAAATATATTTTCTTTAAAAGCTAAATGAGTTTATTAACAATCTGGTTCTTAAGTCAATATACAAAATAGTATACATATGTGCATGTATGAACTTTAACAATGAGTAAAACTTGTGGCGCAAAGCTGAGAATTTGCTTTTGCATATAGCCTCACATGCAGTAGTTAAATGCATGCATATTTGAATGAGGATATGAATTTGCATATTTTTGCTTTATTCTGATCAGAAGAGCAATGTTGTTACATAAATTACTAATCATTCTTTCACTCAATTTTCTGTTTTGAACATAGTCATGGCATTGTTAGCTTGGCAAATAATTGCCATTCAAAAGTCAGTTCAAAATTCCCGACTTCAATAATCAAAACCACGGCATCTCTTTTTGTGTATGTTCTACTGGAATTTTGGACCATCTGATGGAAGCAATTCATCCCAATAACTAATTGCTTTTACAGTGTCAATAAGTGATTTTTTTTAATCCTTTTTGATTTAAATGTCACCATTGGAAACAAAAAAGAAAGGATTCTTTAATTTTAGATAATTATCCATAATCATAACTTATTGTAGGAAACCCACTTATACTATCACATCAAAATAGATGGTATTGTTATTTTCCCATCATACTTGTTTCATTAAGAGACGATTCTCCAACTGTGTCTACTAACCATATACAGGTACTAAGGATCCTCCTCCACTATAACTTTTGCTTTTATGAATAATATAATATTAATACTATATTTTAATTAGAATGGA